GTAGGATAACAAGACTTCGCCCCAGTTGGATTCCGGTCAAGGGCATGTACCTTGGTTGCAGGCACATCCCCAGTAGGGGGTATGCAAGAAGCAGCTGATCCATGATTCTCTCTCATGGATGTTTCTAACTCTCTCTTCCTCTCTCTTCCTCTCTGTAAAAAAATCAATAAAATATATATTTTTTAAAAGACTTTGCCCCAGACTTGGAAGCCCAAGCAGGAGTGTGGGCAAAACAAAACAAAGGAGAACCCAGAAAAGTACCCCCTGCTTTGAACACGTGGGTGCAGCATTGGGTGGGGTCCCTTGTCCACACCAAGAATCTGTCAAGAGTGAGCATTGAGACGCCCGCATGTATCTCAAGGGAGTTGAACAAACATCAACCTGGGCAACAACACTAAGGTTTTCTTTCCCGTTCTAAGCGCTCCCTCCTGCGTTTCTAAGACAATAGGCCACATTCTCTGCAGGAGCACAAAAACTAAAGGCAAGCTTTTTCATAATATAGCCGATGAGAAGAAAAACGCGTTAGTATGGAGCTCTTGCATACTCATGAGAGTACGTCCTTACATTTTGTTCCCTCACTGGCCTCATTCCAGTTCCAGCCCTATTTGTGAGATTGTACCAAAACTATGAAAAAAACAAAACAGCCGAAACTGGTTTGGCTCAATGGATAGAGCGTAGGCTTGGGGACTGAAAGGTCCCAGGTTCGATTCCCGTCAAGGGCATGTACCTTAGTTGCGAGCATATCCCCAGTAGGAGGTGTGCAAGAGGCAGCTGATCGATGACTCTCTCTCATTGATGTTTCTAACTCTCTATCCCTCTCTCTTCCTCTCTGTACAAAATCAATAAAATATATTAAAAAAACAAACAAACAAACAAAAAAAAACCTGGTAATGGCCAACACTGGTTTGGCTCAGTGGATAGAGCGTCAGCCTGCGGACTGAGGGGTCCCAGGTTCGATTCCGGTCAAGGGCATGTGCCTTGGTTGCCAGCACATCCCCAGTAGGGGGTGTGCAGGAGGCAGCTGATTGGTGTTTCTAACTCTCTATTCCTCTTCCTTCCTCTCTGTAAAAGATCAATAAAATCTATATATGTATATTTTTTTAAAAAGAAAAAGAAAAAAACTGGTCATGAATTTGAAACAAGATGCCTAGGGGCAAAGAAAAATTGGTGGGCTCTCCCCATCCCCCAGCATAAATCTTAGAGAAGACCCTTTATAATGGCTAAGGACACATTGTCAACAGCCCAGCAATGCAGGGATCTCTTGGATCGCTCTTCCATCTACATGAAATCAAGGAGGTCGCTGGCCTTTGTTCTGACCCTGAGAAGCTGGGTGATCCTGAAATTCAGCAGATGGAAAGACAACTTATTTGATTTTACAGGATTGAGCTGAAATAGGAATTCCTCATCAATGCATTTTGGAGGGCTGACAGGTAAAGAAGGAAAGAAGGGCATTATATGCCTCACTCATTCTGATTAAATGGTTTCCATGGATTTCCTTATTTGATTCCTACAACTACTCAGTTAGGCAACAATTATGATTCCCAGTTTACAAAATACAAAATATCCTTGGGAAAATGAAATTATTTGTCCAAAGTGACCAGCTAGTAGGGTTGCAGAACTTTAAAAGTCCAGAGCCTGACTTACTATCTTGGCCTCTAAAGCTGCTAACAGTGTGGAGAGGAAAGGATATGCTAGGAAGTCCTGGAAAAGATCTAACATGGAATTGATGCTCAACGATTGTTAGCTGAATCTAAATATCCTTTATTAAAATGACAGGACCTACTTATGTAGCTCATGATTGGACACCTTTTGTCCTTTGGAATTCCAATCTATCCAGAAATTCTTGGTTAATAGTGTTAACATTTTTCCTTACTAAATAGGAATCTTTGAAAATCCTTGGAATAGTAACTCAACATTTTTTTTGTTGGGTCATGCAGAGTGATTTCATGTGAGACATGACAAGTTGCTGTGGATTTATAAGTTTGGGGAATTGCAAAAATGTTCTAATACATTTTCTCTTAAGAGAAATTGCCTATGTGTCAGCAAGAAGTCTGGTTTTGGAAAAGACATTAATTCTTAACTTGCCATGATGACAATTTTGCATTTTGGAAGATAAAGTAATAGGATAGCTACTATTCTATAACTAATTTAATCAATAAAGACAACCGGAGTGTGAATAGTTTACATTAGGGTTTCCTCTTGGTGAATTTCATATAATTTTCACATGTCATAAATTACAATTCTTCTCTTGATTTTTTTCAACCATTTAAAAATGTAAAAACCATTCTTAGTTCTTATGCTGTATAAAACCCAGCAGTGGGCTGGATTTGGCTCTCTGGCCTGAGTTTACCCATCCTGGAGGAAACTGGCAATGAATGCATTTTTAAGGGCCAAACTGGGAATTCCATTTGCAAAGTAAAAGGTTCCACTTTTCCAGTATGCTAGAGAGAACCTATTTCTAAGATTTCCCCCCATCCTTGTTGCCACCTTTTAAAGGAAACCAACTCTGAGAGTTGGTAAATGCTGTTTCTTCAAAGTTTATCTGTGTATGAGAAGTCACATTCTAAAATGTAAGTCTATTTGGTATAGTTAGAGGAGAATACCAGTAGACAAAGTAATGAAAACAATTCTTCTTCTGAAGGGAGGAGGAAAATGTCAAGGTTCTCCATTGGCACTTACACTCAAACCCTGGCTTTGGCACTTAGACAAGCTATCTTTCCCCTTTGACCTTCATCCTTCTCATCTGTGAAATGAGAAACAGTACCTTCTTGATGGGTTTTGAATATTGAATGAAATCATACAGATGATCCTCAGTATAGTAAGTGCTCAAAATTAATGGCTAATAATAGTGAATAAGAACACATTTTAAGAGCAATTTTGTATCCATAAAGATGAAATGCACTGGTATCCAGCTTTGCCAAGCATGTTAAAATTAGAATTCAACACTGAATATTTATTTCACCAGTTACCAGTTAAATGGATTGAATGCTGCAGGCTACATTTCAGTAATGTGGTTTTTAATCTTACCGCTGAACTCTATGGTTTCCCTGGAAAGAGTTTAATTATGACCTTTGAGCTTATCCCTACTTCCCTTTAAAAACCCAATAGGTACTTCTTTGAAAACTGTCCTTTTATGTAATTATATCATGTTTACACCTCTATTATACAGACTCATTCAAGCAAGAAACACATGGTAACAAGGCCATATTAAACCTACTCCAAATTGGTTTCCAGCTCCCTGAAATATAGTCTGATCTATTTGAAAACGTGGGGATCTTCAGTAATAGAAACTTACGTCTTCTAGGAAAAGAATGCCACCACAGAAATAATTTACTCTACTTAATGGAATCTCTTTTTTGAGAATAGAAGTGGAGTTTGCATTTTTCAGGTTTAAAAAAAAAAATGTTTGTTTTTCTTCTCCTACCTATCTCGGATAGTGGCAAAACCTGGAGGACATTCCTCTTAATACTTCAGAATCCTGATTTACATGAAAGATTACTAGGTGTTCAGATATTGTTCACGGAGCTTGAAGAATGAGATAAGGGAGAAGGGGAAAAAAAGCTCTATTTTCAAATAGACTTGTTTGAAATAGAATCAGGACTTGTTTCCAGAACTGACCACAAAGCCCTTTTACCTTCAAATGCAACCCTGGCCAGAACCACTCACCCACCCGGTGGAGTTGGCAGGACCCGCAGGTGGGGCCCGCCCCCCGAAGTGAGCTCCTACCCGCTTACTGGCCCCGGCGCCCAGAGCTCCAGCCAAACCCTCAGTCCTTCAGACGTGCGCCACCGGGCAGTGCCGAGCCGGGCCAACGGGAGGCTGCGCCACCGGATCCTGGGGACCGGAGTCCTGGTTCCCCACGGGCGTCTGTGACCGGGTAGTGGCTCTCTGTGGCACTTCAGTGCCCGGGTCTGCATCCGACTGAAGTCCGCCCGCAGCCGACCTGAGCCCAGAATGTGTGGGGCAGGCCGATGGGGTCAGAGATGGGTCGCCCTGAGCTTGGGCGTTGGCGGCGGAAGACCCTTTGTGAAGTCAACCTTTGTCAGCTGCCCCGCAGGCGGGCTCCAGATCGCTTGCATCACAATAGGGTGGGAGGGGGGCGCTCATTTCAAATGTGGCCCATCCCACCCACCCCCAGCAGTGAGCTCTCCGGGATTGCTAGGTGCTCTTCCGGTTAAGTACAGGAAACCAGACCGTATTGTGGCTGGCCTGTCAATGGCCCCTTAATCCTGACAGTAAGAACAGGGTGCTGGGTGTGTCCTCCAGATATTTCTGCCAGCATCTTAAGGTCTCATTTAACCTCAGGACCTTAGTTGAATGATCTATAGAGTGAAGTGATGCTCTCCAGCCTATCTTCTCCTGAAGGTGATGTGATGATAAACATTAGTGAGAAGACCAATGGGACTGTGGAAGTGTATGGAAGATGGCATTACTACTTCTGAATGGGGATATTACCTGTTACTCCTTCAGCCTTTCATACCGCATTAAGGGGTTTACATAGTGAATGGGTTGTACAACATAATCTCTATGTTGTACACCTGAACTGGGATTTGGTAGGAAGGAATTGAAGAGGATAGAGATTGGATATTGGAGATCAAATAGGAGGCCACCTAGTTACCTGACTTTGAGGCAATACAGGTCTGGTCTTCATGGGTGACAATGGCAAGGGAAATTCAGTTGATGATGGAAAAAATTAGGAATTGAAAATTCTCAATTCAGAACCTCCAAGACAAACTTGAAATGGCATCTTGTGAAATGGCAACAGGGTATCCAAGTGGAAATGTTCTAGGGGCGGATAGAAATCTAGATTGAAGTCTAGATCTCAGCAGAGAGGATGACTTAGAGGTTTTCAGCATGGACTGATAGAAACCTTAGTGTCATTTGAGCATCCGGAGCAGGAAACGTGTTTACATTTCTGTAGGAAGGCCTTAAGGAAACCCCACCGCTGTGCCATGATGTCAACTCAAAGAAGGCGATCCCCAGAAACGTGAGAGCACTTGTTAAGATAAAAGCATGTTTTTATTCCCATTCGTGAAGGAAAGCATCAGATATATTTTCATTGTTGACTCCTGCACCCATCAGAGCCCGTAGTCACAGGCCTCCACGCTGTTCTGCAAGTAGAGATTTAAGAAACCTTGAAAGGTCTTCCCATCAGTGATGAGGGCTGACACTGTGGGATCTTTCCGCATGGCTGCCACCCAGAGCTTAAGTTTCGGAGTGTGGTCTATACACCTGTGTGAGAGGGAAAGAATGAAGGTGTGAGCTAGACAAAAGAAGAAGGCATTGCAAAGTCTACATGTCATCACAGCACTCTGCAGGTTCACTTTGTTCTCCTCTCACCTTTTAAAGTAGTTCTTTAAGAAGAGTTCTTTAAAATGGACATAGTTGTAGAATAAGGCATGCCTCCTTTTGTTGAGCTTCTCAGATGTTGCGTTTTTTACAAACTTAAGGTTTGTGGCAACGAACCTGCATTGAGCAAGTTTGCACTGAGCAAGTCTATTGGCGCAATTCTCCCAAGAGCATTTGTCCGACTCCGTGTCTCCAGGCCACGTTTTGGTAATTCTTAGTATATTTCAAACTTTTGCCATTATTTTTATATTTGTTGTGGAGATCTGTGATCACTGATCTTTGATGTTACTAGGGCAAGACCGTCCACTATATACATATACGTATAGGTAACCCTGAAGAGCTCTAAGCTCTAAGAGGGAGATAGCTAAAGTAGTTGCTAAACTTCAAAATATGGAGCTTGCAAACTAGTATGGAATCTTACTGGTAACTGGGAAGTAGCATTGGTCATATAATCCTGCATGACAGCCTTATTAAAATGTACATCCTTATAGGTTAAAAAAATTTCAATTACAGTTGACATTTAATATTATATTAGTTTTATATGTACAGCATAATGGTTAGACATTTATATAACATACAAAGTGACCCCCCAATAAGTCTAGTACCCATCTTACACCATACCTAGGTATTACAACATTACTGACTATACTCCCTATGCTGTATTTTACATCCCTGAGACTATTTTGTAACTGCCAATTGTGCTTCTTAATACCTTCACCTTTTTCACTCAGCTCCTCCTCCCCAAACCTTCCTTGTGGATTTTTATTAAGGAGAGAAGGAGCCGAAACCGGTTTGGCTCAGTGGTAGAGCGTTGGTCTGCGGACTGAAAGGTCCCAGGTTCGATTCCGGTCAAGGGCATGTACCTGGGTTGCGGGCACATCCCCAGTAGGGAGTGTGCAAGAGGCAGCTGGTCGATGTTTCTCTCTCATCAACGTTTTTAGCTCTCTATCTCTCTCCCTTCCTCTCTGTAAAAAATCAATAAAATATATTTAAAAAAAAAAAAAGGAGAGGAGTAAATTATTTTTAAAACATTTTACCACATGTCACAGAACCCATGATGAGAAGCAGTGGTGAGTGTAGATATAAGTCTTCCTCCTGTCTGCCTTTTCCCCATTCATAAAAGAAGTTGTATAAAATATTTTTGTCCAGAAAAAGGTCAACATATACTATTCAAATTATCATTATCCTAAATTATGCACAAAAATAGTCAAATGTCTTACTCATTTAACTCCAGTGCTTCCAACCGTTCAAACCAAGGCCAGATGAGGTAATCAATCATAGAAATTGAATTGCCACCAAAGAAGGTTGTCTTCTTATTGGTCAGGACCTGAACATTAAACAGCATAAGAGTACTTCTTATTTCAATATCTAGTGAGATTCATCATCAGAGATGATGCAGGTGAGTTAAGTATAATGGTGAGACCAGCAGCTTTTACCCTGGCATATCCAAGTTCTATTTGATCAAATAGTAAAGTTTAAGCTTTACTATTAGTTAGTTCAAGATGAAACAAAACAATCAACAAAATAAACTGGAAAGTGGAGAAAAATAAAATAAGCAACAGAGTGCAAAATCTTCGTAATTCAACATAGGACTGGTATTCAGAATGTAGAAAGAACTCTTGGGAATTAAGAAAAAAAGGCAAACCACCTATTTAAAAAATTGGGCAAGACTTACACTTCACAATTAAAGGATGTCCAAATGGCCTATAACCATTTGAAAAGGTAGTCAACTACATTAGTTATCAGGGAAATGCAAATTAGAACCAAAATGTAATACCACTATACATCCATCAGAATGGCTAAACTGACAAGACAAAGTTAGCTATGGTGATAGGAATGTAAATTGGTGCAACCATGTTTTAATAGTATCTACTAAAGCTGAGTGCATGCATACTTTTAACTACTTGGAAATGTGAACATATATTCCCCAAAGAATGTTCACTGCAGCACTAATTGTAATAGCCCCAAAATGGAAATGTTTTCTGCTCACAAGAAGTAAAAAAAATATTTTAAAAAACTGTGATATAGCCATATGCTAGAACTACAAAAAAATAAGAATGACCTACACACAACACAGATGAATTTCACAAACCTAATACTGTATGACATAAGCAAATCCTAAAGAAAGTGCATATTACATGAGTCCATTTATATAACAAAAAATAGCAAAAATGAATATTCTGTGTTTTGCTATAGGTGCTGGTTCTTTGGCTATGCTCCCTATGTAAAAATTCATCATGCTGGACTCTTATGTTTTGGGTACTTCTCTGCATATAATTCTTCAATAAAACAATTTACTTAAAATATGCTGGATATAACTAGTTTAACAATTAACTATTAAATAAAATTATTTGAAAACCAAGCATAAACTATGTATTCAAAATTCAAGAAGGTAAATTGGTATTATGATTTTGTCAAAGGGGGGAATTCAGAATATTATTTGATTAGTCAACGTCAAACCAACTTAGCCCTTTATAAGACTTCTATAGTTTTTTTCAGTATAACAGTCTACATTGTAAACTGATTGTTTAAATCTACCTGAAGTATTTGGAATGTCTGAAAGCCAAGAGGAAGACTCAATCTAAGGCCCAAAATGACAGCTCTCCCCCAGAGGAAGTAAAACACATATAGCTTTGCCAAGTGTCTGTATGATTCATGGCAAACTCTTTGTGGTGGGAAATGTTTATTATATAATACTATGTAAAACAACACAGAATGGTATCTATGCTCTGATTACATTTATGTTAATCTTTTATTTTTTTATTATTATTTTTTTTAATCTATGGACAGGGACTGGAAGCAGCATGGGGGGAAAAAGAAAACAGGTGACACATTATAGAAATATTGGTGAACTTCCTTTTTTCTATGTTATTTTAACATAGATGCAACAAAACATTTTAAAAGTCCATGACAAAATATTTTTAGGTGTTTTGGTTTATATCTTAAATGCACAGCTTATGTCAATCTGTTATCAAGTAAAATTTCTTATTTGGTATTATTACTGATTGCTATAAAGTGGTATGGGGAATGAGGATATGAAGAAAAGAGAGCAGAAAGAAGTGGGGAGGTGTAGTGTATCATTTACTCTGATAAAAGCCAAGAGTCGCGATTGATTACCTCCTCAAGCTTGCTGAATTCTTGGCGAAATTCTTCTTTCAGGCCAGAGCGGTCTTCCTTAGTTTTGCTTCTTGTAAACCTTCCAACCAAAAGTGGCACCTAGACAGAGAATAATTGCCTAGTTTATTGGTGGGAGACTAAGCATGCCAGCCTCACATAAAAACACGATAGAATCCAATGTCAGAGTGTTCTAGAAACTTCGAGGGTACACCCATTCCTGTGTTCACAGAGGTCATATACTGATCTTAATAACAGTTTTGTGGCCAGAGATGCTATATTAAACAGGACTTTGTAAGTTGCAAATAAAAGAATGCACTTTGGCAAGTTTGAGCCAAAAACATCTGTAAAGGACACTGAGTTGAATTGAATCCTTGGGAGGCTGAACAAACAGGCTCGGAGCTAAGCTGGAACATTCCTAAATCATGCCCAAACTTGCCTGCAGAAAGCAACCTACTGTGACCTGTGAGCTGAAACTAGAGGTTACAGTTTGTGCCGCTTGCCAGCAGCAACTCTGAGATAACCAATGCCACTAGCATGAAGCCGTAGCTGCTCTGGAATGTAAACTCCCAACCAGCATGGCTCCTGAAATCCAGAGGCCCTGCTACCAGCCACTCTCACCAGCAGCACCAGTGCCTCACCCCAACCCATTTCCTCACACTGATCATTTCTGAATTGAACTCTACCATGTGTGTTCTGACAGGGAGAGCCTTCTTCCCAGCCCTTGTCCACAGCTGCAAAGGGAGCTTGAGAAAGAGAATCTTTCTGATTTCTACCTTGGGGAGGACATGAGAAGACTGTTCAAAAGGGACTGACTACCTGAAGACCCGACAGGTGTAGTGTCACACGCTTTAAGGCTTGTGGTGGAGGTGTTTGTTATCTGTTTTAATCCTTCAGTCTTTGGTATCATCTCATTGCAAAATACAGAAGTCTACTCATCCCAGTTTAAGTACACAGGCACTCATAAAAATTCAGGAGACTCCCCTGTAATCCCATCCATGTCAGTACAACTTCCCCCATTGGAGCTGAAAGTTTGCAGGCAGCCCTTCCATCCACATTTCCTGCCTGTTCTTTCCTCTTATCCTTAAATATCTGTTCCACATTATTTTCCTCATACAGTTTTCTTTGCAGTGTTTTTAATTTTCACTTTTCCAAAAGTGTATTTTTTATGTGGTCTTGGTTTGTCAAGTCTCTCTCTCTCTCTCTCTCTCTCTCTCTCTCTCTCTCTCTCTCTGTCTCTCTCTCTGTCTCTCTCTCTCCTTCCCCACTTTGACTGTCTTAGTCCCGTAGAAGAACTGTATTTTAATTACTAGCAATATTGTAGATTAGTTCAAGCAGTTAGTGTTCACTAAGACATGACCGATAGTAGACAACAAGAATACCAATGTCGGGTTATATAATCTTCTACGGAACTGCCATTTATGCCATTTACTCAGTCAGTTGAGGGTTACTGCCAGCACAAGCTCACTGCTAGACACGGGCTAGAACAAGAACTAACACTGAGATTTACCATGTGTCGGACTCTGCCCTCCATGTTTTCGATTAACTGATTTTATCTATGAGGAGGACATAATTACACTCATTCAGCAAATAATGACCTGAGACACAGAGGTAAAAAGCAATACTAAGTAACTTAGCAAGTTAAACAACCTGGACGGGGCAGGACGGATCACAAACCTGCAGTGAGTCAACAGTAAAGGGAACACTGCCCTCACCCTCAAGGAGCTCACACCCTGGTACCACTCACAGGCTTAAGGCAGGCAAGCAGCAACAAGGAAATGTTAGTACTTGTGGGAACACAGAGCTGAGCGCTCACACGGTCTGGCAAGCTTCTGGAAGGCAGCGACATCTGAGCAGATGCATGAAACAGAATGTGGAGAAAACCAGGCCAAGTGAGAAGGGGGAAGGGTCTTCCGGCAAGAGTTGATAAGGTGGTGAGTTTGGAAAACTGAAACATTCAGTATGGCTGGACTATAGTGTTTCCGAAGAGGGATAACTTTGTAGAGGTAAACAGGAACCGATCAAGAAAGGACTTGCAAAGAGTATAATCCTGTTTCGTTTTCCTTTTCCAAATGACTGAACCATACATGACCACTGATGTAGCTTAAAAAAAAAAAAGTGTTTTTTCCCCCTTTTCCCCCCCAAATAGGAACTGAAATTTCTTATATACACACCTTAGAAAATAACTCAAAGACCATCTTTTGGCACGCTTTCTCATAGGGGTCAGCTGGCAGCAGCCTCTTCTCTGGATATGCTTCATCCAGGTACTCACAAGTGATGGCAGATTCGCAGATCAGTTGGCCCTGGGTGTTTTCCAGAACTGGCACCAGACCAGCAGGGTTCTTCTTGAAGAACCACTCGGGCTTATTTTTCAGGTTGATGTTGATGACTTCGTGCCTGAAAGACACAATAGAAGACAATGGAGAGAATGAAACATGTTTGCACTTCTGAAAATCCTCACTGGATCCTACCATCCACTCAGCTGACCAGACCCCACATGTAGGAGTCCACACAGCCTTGATTCCTTTCCCCTTGCCCCCCTTCCCCAAATCAAATGGTCAGCTAGACCTCCAAATCACACTGACTTTATCCATTCATAGCTTTATCGCTTCCAAAATATCATCTGCCACCTGGACCTCTGCAACAGTCCCCTACCAGCCTCTCAGCTTCCACCAGGGCCTCCTTACTCTCCATTCTGCACACACGGCCAGGTGAAGCGCTGACAGAATTAGATCAGGTCACTCTCCTGCTTACAGCCTTCCGACTGCTACTCAGGACAAAGAGGATAAACCCTGAATGCTTTCTCTGACATGCAGGGCACATCAGACCTGGTCCCTGCTTACTTGTCACACCTGTTTCCCACGACTTTCCCTTGGTCATTCTGATCTGGCCCCATCGGCCTTTCTTATATTCCCTGATTTTGCCAAACATGTTCCCATCTTAGAGCCTTTGCGCTGACTGGCCCTCTGCCTTCTCCGCCTGTCTTCCCAAGTCAGACATCCAGTGTGCAGAGACCCTCCCTGACCACCCACTCTGAAGCTGCCGAGAGCCTCCAATACACGACCATCTTGTTTTACTTTCTTTATTAAACTGATACGTATCTGAAATCACTTTGGCCATTTATTTACCCATTATGTCAGTTATCTAGAATGTAAGCTCCATGGAAGCAAGGATCTTATATTTCTTGTTCATACACATACACCAACATCTTTTTGTTGTTAATCTTTACCTGAGGATATTTTTCCATTGATTTTTTTTTCTTTTTTCTTTTTAGAGAAAGTTGAAGGGAGGTGGAGAGACAGAGAGAGAAACATCGATGTGAGAGAGACATATCGATTGGTTGTCCCCTGCACATGCCCCAATCAGGGCCTGGGTCGAGCCTGCAACCCAGGTATGTACCCTTGACCAGCATTGAACCTGGGACCCTTCAGTCCTTGGGCGGATGCTCTATCCTCTGAGCCAACACCTTTGTAGAACAGCACTTAGTTTAAGGGTTTAAATATGTAATCACCCATGGGAACAAAGGAATATCCAGATGAAACACGTCTCTGTGTGTATTAAAAGATTCATGTGCTGAGATAACATTGGACACTCAGATCGGAGCCAGTGCAAGAAATTGTCAACGCTTCTGAAACAGTATACTATAACAACAAAAGGTAGATCCTAGGCTTGTGTAACAAAGAAGGTTCTCAGAACACACGGATTAGGTGGTAACCTGGCATCATGAATCAAGTTCCAAGTTGGAAGGTGTATCTTATAAAGAAAACCATGCTTTGTTAGATTATACCATGTGGTAAAAACCTAGTACCTCTCTGATAGTCTCCTGGGACTCAAAACTGACCCATGAATGTAGCAGGCCTCTGTTGTCTGCACTATCTGGCAGCTGTCACCGTTCTTCACCCCCACCCCATACACACCCTATTACACTAAAATCATTTCAATTTTCGTTTGGAAAATGCCCAGTAAGTAAGGTAGGGCTGTTTTCAACCTGAAGTTACAGAAGGACACATAACCCAGGATTTGGTGCCCCGGATTCAGCTGCATCTTGCTCTTGGACTTTTTAATTATAAGAGTACGATATATGCCTTTTATCGTCCAATTTGAATTCGTTCTCTTACTTGCAATAAAATAATTCTGACTAATACAAAAATATTATAGTATTTTGATAAAATACAGTGTTTTGGATAAATGTTACTAAATGTTGAATATTTTGCTATGTGTTCAGGATCAATTTCATTCAAATAAGATGCCAATCTTAGTGAAGTGAGGGCTAATCCATAAATAATTTTGGTGGTGGTTTTAAAATTGCACTGGGGGTAGGATGGCAGAAAGGTGGGCAGGTGGAGGCCAAGTGAGGGCACGCCGGGATCCTTGGCCTCTCTGCCCTGCCTGCTGCAGCTTCCTGACGCCAGCGCTCTGTATGAGGCCCCTTACCACCCGGGAAGGGGGGAGGCCCAGCCTATGAAAGGCAGGCGGGTGAGAAGGGCCGTGCTTCCCGGTCCTCGGGCGGCTGGCACGGGAGCTCCGGGAGAAGGCAGCTCAGGACCGGGAGGGAGGAGATGCTGTCTGGCCTGCAGACAAGTCCCTGGGTAGTTCTCTGGGGACTAAAGCCTCTTTCAGCTCCATCCTCGCCACAGGTCGGCCATCTGTTGACCCTCCAGGGCTCAGAACCACCAGAGCCCCTAGATCTGAAAATCGAGCTGCTTTTTGTTCCTATATTCATTCAACAAACGTTGACATTGTCCTAAGCATTGGACAGAAGAGTGGGTCACACAGAAGCCTGGCCTTCAGTTTCTCACGGGGATACGGGGACGTCATAAAAGGATTCCTCTTAATGGGTGTCCGACCCGCATCCCTTCCCCGCGCTCTCTGGATGGGCCCTGCCCACCCTGCTGGCTTGCTTTGCTGTGTGGTTTCCGGCACTCAGGTTCTTACCTGATCCCCTTTGCCTTCAGGACGAGGAGCGTCCTCTGGGCGAACGGGCAGAACCTCATGCTGTAGACGCGGATCAGGCCCTGGGGGACCGGCCCCGGGGGCGCGCTCCCTGCAGGGGACAAGCGGGGCCAGTTACACGGCTGGGAAAGCGGCTGGGACCCCCAGCCTCCTCCATCTCCCCTGGGGCCCGACCCACCCCCTCCGGGAGGAGACCCTGCGGGAGAGTTCGGCTCCGGATCAGCGCCCAGATCCCCACCTCCCGCGGCGGCCGGGCCTCACCCTTGTCCAGGCTCTTGGCTGACCCGGCGGACATCGTGGCGCGGCGCAGGCTGAGTGGAGCCTGGGTTTGCAGACGATCCAGGAAGTGCAGGCCGCGCCCTCGCTCAGGCCTCCCCGGCTCGCAGTCCGCTAAGTGCGAACTGGGGGCGGCGCTTCCGGGGCGCCCGGAGCGGACCCGGGGCGGCGAGCGCGCCGGGCTCCTGCCCACCCTGCGCGGGGGGACCGCGGCGCCCCGCCCAGGGCCGGCCTTCCGGGGTTTGTGGGGATCGTGCTTAAATCTCTGAGCCCAGAGATCAACCAAAGGACTTATCTGCATGCATATACGCCTAATCAAAGGACACAGACAACAGGAGAGTAGGGGCATAAATGGGAGGTGGAAGGCGGGGGGGGGGGGGGGGGGGTTTATAAGGAAAATAAGGACACAAATGCAATACCTTAATCAATAAAGAAATCAAACAAACAAAACCCTGCGCCTGTACTGTGTTGGCCCAGGGGAGGGATATGCGCGCGCGCGCGCGCGCACACACACACACATTCCTTGACCCTGAACGAGGGTGGTCTGTTGTCTGCCCTCCTCCCCTCCCCCCCGGGTCCACACCCCTGCTGGGAAGCCCTCCTCCTCCGTGTTACCGGCCTGGTCATAGCTCCCCCGCCGCTCCAAGGCTTCCCCCGCTTCAGGTCTGTGTCCTGGGCCCAGCGCTCGCTCACCAAAGGTTCCCGTCCACAGCACAGGGACAGGTCGCCCAGCCACCCGGACAGCCTTTTCCTTCTGCCAGCACTAGCTTCCTACCACTCCTGGGATGGCCCCTGTCCCTCCTGTAACTACAGGAGATGGCCTTTTAATTTTAACCCAAAAGAAACAGCCCAAATCTGGATCTTACTAACCTCTGATGGTGCTGTTTTCAAAAAATCTATTAAATATTTGGATTTTGAAGCTCTATTAGGGCTCAGAGTCATGCAGGCGGATGGAGTAAATTCATTCCCACTGGTCTGCTCAAACAGCCCCTCTTAGTTTAGGTTTAGGAAAAAGGGATTCCAGTCGAGGGCACACGGAAAAGAATAGTCAATGTTTGACTTGTCTGCCTAGATTTGAGAGCTGGTGACTCCTGTGCCATTGATTTGCAAAGCAGAAAGGTGTGGTGGTTGGTGTCTGCTTTTATGTTGATTAGCTCTATTATGGGAGAAGCAGAGGTTAGGGGATAAGCACACCTATCTCAGAGCCTTCCTGCCTGGGTTTGATCCTTTCTCTAGACCTGTATTTATTAGTTTGCCAGGGTTAGGGTAACAAAGTACCACACTCTGAATGGCTTAAACAACGGGAATGTATTCTCCCGGGTGTGGAAGCTAGAAGTATCCGGGTGAAGGCAGGGTGGGTTCCTTCTGAAGATTGTGAGAGACATGTGTCCCAGGCCCCTCCCTAGCTTCTGGTGGTTTGCTGGCATTTCTCGGAATGTAGAGCATCACCCCATCAATGCCTTTATCTTCACGTGGCACCCTCTTTGAGTGCATGCCTGCATCTCCATTTCCCCTCTTAATATTGGATTAGGGGGCCAGTCCACCCCAATGTGACCCATCTTAATTGAACTAATTATAACTGAAATGAATCTATTTCCAAATAAGATCACATTCTGAGGCCCTGGGAATTAGAGCTTCAACACAAGAATTCATGAGTTTGTAATTCAACATATGAATTTTTTATGAAACCATAAATGTTGTAGTAACCCCTTATTAACCACCTTGTGACTACAAGCAAGTTCCCTCTGTGTTTCACTTCCCTCGCCTGTAAAATAAGGTGGCAAACACCTAATAGCTCCTTTATAGAAGTTGAAGAATGATTAAATTAGTGAATATTAGAAAGCACTTAAGCAGTTCTTGGCACAGAATAAGTGTGACATAAATAAATGCTTGTTATTATTGCTGAAACTCAGTGAAAACAAGTTGGCTACATTTTTGCTGAAGCATGGATGTAGCTTAACTCTTTTTCAGAAAAGTAACGTTTTAGAAGGTCTTTTAGCATATTGATACACCATTCAAATTAATGTAAATTTAAACTTGGACAGCAACACCTCTAACTGGTCAAACTAAAAATTTCATGTCAAGGTATATCTTGAGAACTTTTATTTGAAATGGTCTGTCCCCTAATTCGTATGAACAGTGTATAATGTTTTATTTTAATGATTTGAAACATCCAATTCATCAATAAAGTAAAATGTTAATTCCTCAAAGAAATAAAATGAAAAAGAAAATATACATCCCAGGAAACAGCTGTACTGTTGGCACCACTCTGCATTACAGAGAATCATCTCCAAGTCCTTGGTGGATATATGCATGATATGTGAACATCTGGATACACATCGCTGTTAGCCACGGGGAAAAAACATAGTATTTCACTTTTTTTTTTTGCAGCTGTAATTGTCAATAATTAACCTGAGTGGGCTAATCTCAACTGATTCTGCTGGTTGAAGATTAAAAGTTAGAGGTCCTGCTGGCCAAAATGGCTCAGTGGATGAATTTGGACCCCTGGTCAGGGCACATGCCCAGGTGGTAAACTTAATCCTCAATAGGGGGCATCCAGGAGGTGTACAGGAGGCAGCTGATCAGGATTCTCTCATTGTCGATGTTTCTATCTCTCTCTCTCCCTCTCCTTTACTCTCTGAAATCAATGAAAAAAAATATATATTTTTAAAAGTTAGAGGTCCTAGTGATAAGAAATAGTTTTCTACCTTCTAAATACCATCTCTCTTTCCTGACAATATACACCCACTTGATACATTTTTTTTCAGAAATATTACTTGAATAATTTTATACTCTTTAATCTATAATAATAAAAGCATAATATACAAATCGACCGGACAGCCGAACAATGGAACAACCGTCCAGATGACCTTCCTGACGACCTTCTAGAGGACCGTCCAGATGAAGCCAAAGGGCCAAGCCCCTTGCACGAATATCATGCATCAGGCTTCTAGTATATAATACATTTATATATATAAAGTATTTTATAGAGTAAGTTAGGAATATTGAAAGTCACATGAAGTGTTTCACTGTTATTATTTTAATTAATTATATTTAAAATATCTTTTTTTAAAATTAGGGGCACTTATCTTGTGAATAAGAATGTTACTTTAAAAATTAACATCCCATGACAGTCCATAGTAGGGAGAAATAGCTTTCATAAAATAGATTTCATGGAAAGATCCTGACTGGAATGATTGAGTGAAAGTATTATGGGGCCTAGAGTGAGATCAAATGAAGAAAGAAAAAAAACACTATTATAATCCTCACAATAAGAAGCTATACAGATATAAATAGTCCATAAAGAAAGGAGCTTGAATAGCAAAATATATATATAGGTGAATATTAAAACGGCATTGAGAGTAGAATGGATAAATAAATCGTGGTCTATTCATATAATGAACAACGATCCAGCAATGAAAACTAATAAACTACAGCTACAGCTATCAAAATAAATGCATCTCAAAAACCTAAGATTGAATAATAAAAACAATATATATGACTACATAAATTAACTTTAAGAACATGCAAAGTGAAACAGCATATCGGTTATGGCACATACATATGTGGTAGAGTTAAAAAGCAAGAAGCAATAAACAGAATTCAGAAAAGTTTTTACTTCTAGGGGAAGAAAAAGAAAAACTAAGGGGGATTGTATAGGGGGAGTGCTTCCCTGATATTAATTTCCATTTCTTAAGCTGGAAGGTGGCCTCTGGAATTCAGGTAGGAAAGAATGAGGTGAGAAAAAAAAAAAATGTTGTCATTTGCAAAACCTTCCCATGGAATTTAAGTTTTTACTATATACTATATGGAGGGGGGTGTGATTTATGGAACAGATTTCTAAAAGAAAAACAACAAAAACCCTAACTACTGTTAAAAGAGATGAAGTGTGTGTGTGTGTATGTATGTGTGTGTGTGTGTGTATATATATGTCCAAGATATGAAAATGTAGAAAAACAGCATAGAGGAGAATATTTCATTGGTGAATGCAAATTGCACATCTGCTAAGCATTCTATATGAATGAAATGTCGGAGAGATGGTGGCAAGACAGGAAGGAGGGACTTAAAGAAGGAGGGGGCAGGGTAAAGGAGAGGACTGGAGGGGAGGGAGGAAGGAGAAAGAACCGGGGAAATGGCTAGGAGGGATCTGAAAGGGAAGGGACGAAGCTAGGACAAGCTGCAGTCAGATCACTTTCAGAATCTCTCTGCCTATTTTAAGTAGTAGAGGGTACATTTGAAAGTGTAACATAGCAATGAAAGGCTTGGAGCTCGCGGAAACCGGTTTGGCTCAGTGGACAGAGCTTCGACCTGCGGACTGAAAGGTTCCAGGTTCAATTCCGGTCAAGGGCATGTACCTTGGTTGTGGGAACATCCCCAGTAGGGGGGTGTGCAAGAGGCAGCTGATGGATGATTCTCTCTCATCGATGTTTCAAGCTCTCTCTCCCTCTCCCTTCCTCTCTGTAAAAAAATCAATAAAATATGTTAAAAAAAAGTAAAAAGAAAAGAAAAAGGAAGAAAGAAAGGCTTGGAGCTCTAGATTTACACTAGACCTTGCTTTAAAACCCACTCCGTTTGTGCAGCTTCAGGCAAGTTATTTTTCTTATCCTCACTTTCCTTATCTGTAAAATGGGGCTGATGGGGAGTCGAGGATTAAATGAAATAATGCCTGCATGGAGCTTGAAACGTCTGGCTCGGCAGCATTCAATAATTTCTTCCATTGATATTCATTAATATTTTAATTATTATAATATCAATAATTTCATAATATACAATTATGTAATTGTATATTACATAATTGTAATGTGTGGGACCCCTCCAGCACTCACTCCGAGAGTCCCGCCCCTCGCTTCGCTTGCCGCTCGCCTATTGGCTGACAGGCTGCAGCGCTTTCACCAATGCGAGCGGCTCTAGAAGGAGAAGGCCGAAGGGGCAGAGCCAATGGGCGCAGGGCTTACGGTCTCCTGGCGACGATGCAAACAGTGGCGGCTGCGCCGGCGGAGCAGTCGGGAGCCGCGGAGCAGCCGTTGCCGAGCGGAGCCCCGGGTCCAGCGTTTGCCGCCCCGAGCGCGGCTTTGAGGAGCCATGTCCATCCCGCGAGGCCGAGAGGAGCGCTCCCTCTCCGGCGGCGGCGCGGC